TTCGAAACAAACAAACAAACAAATCTTTCCTCTTTATAATATTAGTATAGATATAGATTCATTTTTACAAGAGGTATTATAACGTAACAATTATTGCAATATTGAAATTCCCGGAGTGGACAACTCATTTCCACTTTGTGCAATCTTCTAAATAATCGTTGACTTTATAATAAACTTTATTGCACAGATGTTCTTTAATAGTTTTCTTAAATCTATGTAGGTATATGTAGGTTCTGAACATCTTGTGGGATTTTATTGTACAGGCGTTTTGAAGTCGTCGTGGCCTAAAGGATAAGACGTCCGGTGCATTCGTGTGTAGCGATGCACCGGTGTTCGAATCCCGCAGGCGGGTACCAATTTTTCTAATGAAATACGTACTCAACAAATGTTCACGATTGACTTCCACGATGAAGGAATAACATCGTGTAATAAAAATCAAACCCGCAAAATTATAATTTGCGTAATCACTGGTGGTAGGACCTCTTGGGAGTCCGCACGGGTAGGTACCACCACCCCGCCTATTTCCGCCGTGAAGCAGTAATACGTTTCGGTTCGAAGGGTGGGGGGTAGCCGTTGTAACTATACTGAGACCTTAGAACTTATATCTCGAGGTGGGTGGCGCATTTACGTTGTAGATGTCTATGGGCTCCAGTAACCACTTAACACCAGGTGGGCTGTGAGCTCGTCCACCAATCTAAGCAATAAAAAAAAAAAGGCGCACAGACAAACCCCCAGAATGAATTTCGTATCTTATGTAACCTACTCATCGACACATGAAGCTTGTGTTCCTAGTATTTCTATTGTATAAGTCAGACTTTTTAGGAAACTCCTCAAAATGCTTACGAACATACAACAAATTTTCAAAAAGTTACTGGGATGGCATAGTAACTTTAATTTCTTTAAAATTTTCCCTCGGGGATCCCCTTGAGTGCATGTTATAAATAGCACGTATAGCTCTTTTCTGCAGAATAAATATCATTTCTACATCGGCCGCATTGCCCCATAGCAAAATGCCATAGGACATGACACTGTGGAAGTAACTAAAGTAAATTAAACGAGCCGTGTTCTGGTTTGTTAACATTTTTTTACTGCGTTTAGTTTTCTTACTATTCAATAATACCTTATTGATACGGAACCAATGAACCGCACACGAAATCTAGGACCTGAGGCGTGGTTATGGAGTAAGTAGAGACAATTTGTGAGGGCCCTATGTACCAGCGAAGTACCCTGGGACTACAACTTAATCCAAACTATGTCTCAGAAATGTTCGTCAGAAGCGTTTATCTGCCTACTCTTATCTCATTAAACATTAAAGTAAATATTCGTCACAATTAGATTATGCTTGTCTCATACTATTATAACGGGTGTCGAGATAAAACGCTATCGGTGAGGGGGCAGTTAAAAATTGTTGACTTGTTGATAGTGAAGCTTAATAACTTAGGGTGTGTTTATAATGTTTTATCTTATAGAAACTCGAAGCCGGAGCCTCATACCGGTATTTTTTTATTGCTTAGATGGGTGGACGAACTAACGATGTTATTCCTTCACCGTGGAAGTCTATCGTGGAGATTTTGTTGAGTAAGTACGTATATATTAAAAAAATTGGTACCTGCATGGGATTCGAACACCGGTGCATCGCTCAATACGAATTCACCGGCCGTCTTATCCTTTAGGCGACGACGACTTCAAATCTTTTAATATATTGTCGAAATGTATCTGACCTTGGTGACTGGTGGAAGGACCTCTTGTGAGTCCACACGGGTAGGTACCACCACTCTGCCTATTTCTGCCATGAAGCAGTTAATGCGTTTCGGTTTGAAGGGTGGGGCAGCCGTTGTAACTATACTGAGACTTTAGAACTTATATCTCAAGTTGGGTGGCGCATTTACGTCGTAGATGTCTATGGGCTCCAGTAACCACTTAATACCAGGTGGGCTGTGAGCTCGTCCACCCATCTAAGCAATAAAAAAAACATATATAAGATTTGTTGTTGTTAGAAGAGAATGATTTTGGCAGTTTGCGCGGCATAGATAAAACGTATACAAAGGATGTCGTCTGGCACGCATTTCCAAAGCACGTAATTACGGATCCTCCTGATCCATTAACGGTGCTTTTAGGCACCACAAGCACCGGTCACCGTCCTCGTCGAACCCGTGGCTTGCGACGAAGGGCTCGACGAGCGAACTAACCTATAGACACAGCCCACTGAGTTTCTCGCCGGATCTTCTCAGTGGGTCGCGTTTCCGATCCGGTGGTAGATTCTGCGAAGCACTGCTCTTGCTAGGGTCAGTGTTAGCAACTCTCCGGTTGAGCCCCGTGAACTCACCTACAAACGTTAGGGTGAAGCTGACATAGCCTCTCAAGGCTATCAGCATAGGTAGGTTTAAAAAAAAAAAAGGCACGCAATGGAAACATGTCCGACAGGTGAAACCCGCTTTCTCCAGCTCCCGTCGTTGTACCGAAATAAGATATACATAGTTAACATTATTTCAGTATTTATTGTATTCGTTTCTTTATTAATTTTAATAATTTTGATTCGGTTTCATTTGATTTGGTTTCATTTTTGTTTGTTTTTGTTTTTGGTCATTCTGATAAATTGTAATTTTAATTTTGTTGTATTTTATGTAATAGTATGTGAAATTTTATGGGCTTAAGTTGCCTGAAATAAACGCATTTCATTTCATTTTATTTCATTATATTCTAAAAATCATTCGCTTCGTCTAATTCATGTAGTGAAAACATACAAATCGGGTTTAGATGTTATAGTAAAAATTTTTTATGGCGTTCAATCTTCAAACTTAACCTATAAAAATTACGAAAATTTCACGTTCCTACAAACATCCAGTGAAATGAAACAAAACCAAAACATACAACAAAGCCGAAGCCTTCTTTATGATTTTTTGAAATAAAACATAAACACGGAATCAATTTAGGAGACAGTATTTTCGAATTGTCAATTTGGATTTACATAATAATATATTATGTTAACGGTCTGAGTTGCAGCTATATCTGTCCTGTTCTATTCAGGGAGATAGGTACAAGAGAGAAACAATTCGCCGTTTTGCGTATAATAACCAACTAGACGATGACCGGTTTTTTTTGATAACGCCATCTTGTTGTGTCGTTAAAGGGGTTAGTTGCCCTCAATTAAGAAAAATAGTTTTATTATTCGTCAATAGATGTCGGGAAGAGTTGATTATTGAAAACACGAATAAAACAACATTTTCTGAAAATAAATCGTAGGTAGATCGATTTACCGCCCCCGAAATTCCCTGTATAAGTACTAAATTTTATGAAAATCGTTGGAGCCGTTTCCGAGATTCAGATTATATATACATATAAACATATTAATATACAAGAATTGCTCGTTTGAAGGTATAAGATTCGACTAATAGCGTTTACTTTTATAAAACGTCATATCTTAGCGTCTGTTGCACTCTAAGCCAATTACAGTGGTCTGTGAGTTCTTCGCTTCGTAACAGCTAAAAATACAAGGTAAGGAAAAAGGAAACAATAACGAGCATGTGTCGGGGAAGTAGTATCGATAGTTCAAGGATGCCAGGGCCGTATGATATTGTGCGATTGTTATTATAAGCCAACAAACCTGCAAACTACCAATTTGAATTCATTTTTGAAGACCGCTCGTTTAAATTGATTGGACCATCTCGACGGTAGTGTATCGGGTATGCGCCTTAACAATACCGGCGTCTTACAGAAAAGTACTGTACGTACATATTATTTAAAACGAATCTCTCTTATTATTATAACGTTCAATAGAATTTTCAAAGCTCAGTAAAAGGATCGGATTAGATTTGTTTTACCGGTGACATGAATTCGAGTTCAATTCGCAAGTTAGATGACTGGATATTTGCGGAGTGAATACTATAACTTAGAAATATAAATTAACAATCTGAATAATAAATTAAGTATTACAATATTTTTTTTTCTTTGCCTTGCTTGTAAACTTGATACAGTAGTGAAAATAATAAACTTTTAAAGAATTTATTAGGAAATTTCAGCCGATAATATATCGTAAAGTCAATTATTGACATTTTTGATAATCAATGTAACAGCCAACTGTGCACCGAATAAATACTTTCTAGTATTTGAAACGTTAAAAATAATAAAATTGATCTAATAAACTCGAGATTAAGCAGTAAAATTAGTTTTAATTACGTCCATAGACTCGCGAAAATCGAAAAAAAAAAGCAATTTTTTTAACCACATCCGAACCCCGGTACATTCGCGTCGCTTGACCCGAGCACGCCTACCGGGCTTTATCTATATATTATTATTTAAACGTATATAAGTATGTATGTCCGTCTTTAGTACTCATAACACAGGGAATCCTGATTTGGGGCCGGATGACCGTGCGTGATTTGTTCCCAGTTATTTACTATTATAATATTATTTATGTTTATTTATTAACACATTTTAATTAGCTAGCTATGCCTGTATATAACGGAACTTTTAATGTTACTTTCATCGAATTCAACAATAATAAACAATTTAAAATAGACAATACGAAAAAAATTATAACTCTGTTCTAATATTCTGACCAGAACAAGATAAAGAAAAAAAACAATATGAAATTAAGCGTTACTTCGGCTTGCTATTTAAGTATTTTTTTTAGTTTTTAAACTATAATATCGAGGGGTGATAGGAAATTTGGTTTAGGTAAAAATTTTGCAACTTTACATGAGAGAAATTTAAAGATTAAAAGTTGCAAAAAAAAATCAGGACAAAAAACTTCTTCAGCTATTTGAATGGAGTAAACATAATTGAAGTTGAATCGAATTTTTGATGCTAATACCAAATAAAACGGACATTTTATTACAAAGATAAATGTCGTGTATCAAGCCAAAATGTTGCTTAATCAAAACAGGCTTTCAGACCTCGTTTTTTTTTTTATTTTTTTTTTATAATTCTGAGTTATTTCGCTTTTCTATCAGACGTCAGACGTTTTTAATAAACGCATGATATGAGCTAGTGAGTGAAGCGGTGGCCGTGCGCTCTGTACTCAACGGGATTGTGATAACAAAAGAAATATAAATATTTTGTGTTAAAATAGTACGTATTTGCTTTTGCATTTTGTTATTGTATGCTTTAATATATTAAAAAAGTTAGATACATATGATGTTACATTTTACATGGGTTCGTGAGTTGTTGATATAAAAAAAACACGTATTATTATATTTTCTCTCTGCGTGTGTGTGAATGTGTGTGCAGTCGGGCCACACATCATTAACCATAAATACTGCGTTGAGACATCAAGTTGGATTGCATTGTATGATTGCTGTCCCTTTGACTGCGACTAACACGTGGATATTTTTAATTTTATTTATTTCTAAAGGACCCAGTCCTACGGATGTGCATTACTATAATTCTCATGTTGTATTTGTTATTTTAGTTATGTGTTATTTGTTCTACACACACTCATCACTTTTTATTATTATTCTCATTATCCTCTCGCAGGTCTGCTGGAAGAGATTTCTTAAAGAAATAAGCAGTGCCTTTGTACATAATTTTCCTATTACTCTGTATTATGTCCTCTTTTCTGTGTGTACATAAATAAATAAATAAAATAAATAAATAAATAAATGGTCCAAGCCAAATTCGATCGTGTCTGGACATCAAGCTCCACGATGTCTACGAAGCCAAAGATGGAGGACAATCATGCATGAGAGTATGATGCAGAGGTCACGACCTTCAGTAATGAGGAAAGAACTAAGGTGGCGACAAGCATCTGGTCTAGCCAATGGAAAGTGGTCGCCGTCACTGACATCGACAATGCCAGGGGCACAGCCATGTCCCTGGTTTGGGATTTTAATACTCTTCTCAAATTTCGTCTGAAGAAGGATACGAGAGCACCCGGTGAACACTGAGTGATGGTGTAAAATTCCACACTTCTCTGATTCGAGATAAATATGGCCTTTACGGAAGGTAGATAAGGCTTTCAAACTGGGATGGTATCAGGTGTTTTTTTTTCCTACCTATTCTTGTAACCTCGAGGGGTTATTCTAGATAGACCGAACTAGTAGGCGAGCTCACGGGGCTCGAACCTGACGTTGTTGCTAACACGAGCCCTAACAAGAGCATTGCTCCGCAGAATCTACCACCGGATCGGAAACGCGACCCAGTGAGAGGATCCGGCGAGAAATTCAATGGGCTTTGGTAGTATTGTGAAGTAGTGTAAAATGAGCGACTTTATAGCAGGAAATGATTTTCTCTAAACAAGGGATTATGAAAAATCTGTATCTACAAAACTTCGCACCAATATCGCCAATCTTCGAGAACTCGGCATTAAGCAGCGTCTTTCGGCGCTCGTGCATGGACGCATACTATAATTTTTTGGACATGTCTCCCGGCGAGGAAATGACTCCATAGAGCGCCTTGTCGTTCAGGGCAAAGTAGAAGGCACCAGACCGCGTGGAAGGGTGCCCATGCGATAGACCGACCAGTTGGCGGCTGTTTGCATGAGTGCACCAGGCTCACCACAAACCGGGAGGAGTGGCGATCGCTCGTGAGGCGCATAGCATCTGCCCACAACAATGATGCTGGATGACGACCACGACCTCTCTGACAAGAGTGATACGACATACGAGACAAAGCGCCCAAATACACGAAACGGTTTTCGTGAAGTTACTTAAATAATTGAACGAAAATAATATAATAAATTTTTTATATTATTTATTATCTACACGATAAATTCTTTTTACCTACATTTTTTATAGAAGATATAATCGAACTATAAAAGTTTTACAACGTACCGATAACAGTAATTTTAAGAGCCATTTTACAAAATTGCTTCATTTGATAATAAATAATGTACTTGTCAAGTTAAAATGTCAAAGTAAATACGGTTCACTAAAATCAAGTAACGTCGTAGATTTACGTGAACATAATATTTAATAGAGAAATGAAAAATATGACAAAGATGTCCGCAGCCTGATAAGCCAGACTTACATGTGACTAAAAATTTATTTTAATTTATAAGCTGCTTCATCGAATGCATAAAAATTGAATCAGGAATGAGGATAATAACATAACATAAGGAGAATAACATCGTGTAGTAAAATCAAATCCGCAAAATTATAATTTGCGTAATTACTGGTGGTAGGACCTCTTATGAGTCCGCACGGGTAGGTACCACCTCCCTGCCTATTTCTGCGGTGAAGCAGTAATGCGTTTCGGTTTGAAGGGCGGGGCAGCCGTTGTAACTATACTTGAGACCTTAGAACTTATATCTCAAGGTGGGTGGGACATTTAAGTTGTAGATGTCTATGGGCTCCAGCAACCATTTAACACCTGGTGAGCTGTGAGCTCGTTCTATAATCTAAGCTATAGAAAAAAGGAGATTCACAGAAGAACCAAGGTAATTGATATAGCCCGAAGGATTGGAAGATTGAAGTGGCTGTGAGTTGAGCACATTGCCCGTAGAGCAGATGGCCCCTGGGGTGAAAATTTCTCGAGTGGCGAATGCGTATCGGATAGCGCAGCATCGCTAGGCTTTCTTGTGGACGTGGACGTGGACTGATGACTTGCTAAATTCGCACCCACTTAGCTTCTCGGCGGATCTTCTCAGCGGATCGCGATTCCGGGCCGGTAGTAGCGAAGCACTGCTCTTGCTAGGGCTAGTGTGTTAATTCTCTCAGGTTGAGCCCGTGAGCTCACCTACCGGTCCGCGCGATTAGAAAGAAAAGAAAGTCGCGGGAATCCGTTGGATCGAGACTGCGCAGGATCAGATGTTGTGGCGAACTTTGGGGAAGGTCTATGTTTAGCAGTGGATGTCCGCGGGCTTGAAAAAAAAACTTGTTGTTTGAAAAAAAATTACAATTCGTATGTAACTAAATAATTGTAAAGAGACATGCTTTATCAAAAACCGACTTCAAATAGAAGAAAAAAGATATTCCAAAACAAATTAATATACACTAAAAACAATAATCATCGAAATCGGTTGGCGTGGTATTGAATTATTCATCTATTTGTCGCGCACATACTTAATGCAAATTTAAGACTTTGATGGTTTTCTCATGGATACCATTACCAAAACTGAACTAAATTGGGAATTTGCGACTAGAATAGGACCACACGGAAAGCGTCAGCTTTCTAATAAAAAAATTATCATCAAAATCGATTCACTCAGTCAAAAGTTATGTGGTAACAAACACAAAAAAAACATACAGTCGAATTGAGAACCTCGTCCTTTTTTGAAAGGTAAAGACATAAACTTTCTATAATATAAAATTACCTTAAATTAGGATTTTTCTCTTGTGTGTTGAGTTCCGAAAACAAAGACATGTCATATATATATACATTTTTTATTATTATTGCCTAGATTGGTGGACGAGCTTACGGCCCACCTGATGTTAAGTGGTTACTAGAGCCCATAGACATCTACAACGTAAATGCGCCACCCACCTTGAGATATAAGTTCTAAGGTCTCAGTATAGTTACATTTCATATGAGAAAACTAAATCCGCATTAAGCATCCAGACCGCAAATTTCAAATTTCTTTGACAAAAGAATTGAGTACGATGAGGGGTGATTTATCCCGAGCCCGTCTCATCGAATCAATCAACCAGACAAATGGAAGATTTATTTCTAACTCGACAAATTAATGTCACTCTTGAAATGTTTGAAAATGGAAGGGTTGTTATTGTATAGATGGATGATATCACGGCACATAGTTGTTAAGTGGTTACTGGGGACAATAGACACAATATAGGACATATTATTATATAGGACATGTAGGGTACCGGTAATTATGCATACTTTTTTTTATTTTTTTTTATTGCTTAGATGTTTGGACGACCTCACAGCCCACCTGGTGTTAAGTGGTTACTGGATCCCATAGACATCTATAACGTAAATGCGCCACACTGCTTGAGATATAGTTCTAAGGTCTCAGTATTGTCACAACGGCTACCCCACCCTATTATGAAGATATCGTTTTATTATGAGGATATCGTTTTAACCCACTGAGTTTCTCGCCGGATCTTCTTAGTGGGTCGTGAATCCGTTTCAGTGTTAGATTCTCAGATGTACTGCTCTTGCTAGGGCCAGTGTTAGCAAATTCTCTCAGGTTCAGCCCGTGAGTTCACCTACCCGTCCGGTCGCAGCTGGAATAGCCCCTTAGTTTACTTAGCGAAAAAAAGAAAAAAAAAACATTACGTTATCCCGTGCTACACTGACTATAATTTATCTCAACGTCTTAGAATCTCTGAAAGTGGTTTTCAAATACTCCAAAACATCCGATTAACTTGAAAATTGGCAGACAAGTGATAGGTACATCGTTTTAACGGGAAGTGTCTGAATGGGCTCGCCCTAAATTCGCCCTTGGGTTCATGCTGCGAAAGCCACATTTTAATTATGACTGACTCAATTTTCATAATAATACTTATATCAATCCTAATTCCTTACGGACCCAAATTTCATTTGCTATTTGATAATTAACAATTACTGGACCTATATGGGCTGGAAATATTTGCATTAAAATTATGTGCCTCATAAAATATGACATTTTTATTTATTTTTTTATTGCCTTTGTAGGCAGGCGAGCGTACGGCCCACCTGATGGTAAGTGGTTACCGTCGCCCATGGACTTCAGCAATGGCAGGAGCAGAGCCAAGCCGCTGCCTACCGCTTAATACTACTCTCCACAAACCTCGTTTGAAGAAGGACATTGACCTACTTTTGTTTTACAGATGAATTGCGAAGCGATACCGAAAGGCGAGGGGGTGTTGTTGCGACAGGCCACTGACAGATTCATTGTCGCATACGGCAGACGACCGGAAGTCGCTGCAGCGGCGCCGGGACGCGTCAACCTCATCGGAGAACACGTTGACTATTGCGAAGGCTTCGTTCTACCAGTGGTTTGTGATTTATTCACTGACAAACAGATTCATTCGCAGTGTTCATTACACTGGTGGTAGGACCTCTTGTGAGTCCGCTCGGGTAGGTACCACCGCCCTGCCTATTTCTGCCGTGAAGCAGCAACGCGTTTCGGTTTGAAGGGTAGGGCAGCCGTTGTATGTATACATGAGACCTTAGAACTTATATCTCAAGGTGAGTGGCGCATTTACATTGTAGATGTCTATGGGCTCCAGTAACCACTTAACACCAGGTGGGCTGTGAGCTCGTCCATTCATCCAAGAAATAATAAAAAACAACTTCCAAACCCTTCAGCTGTGTTCAACAAAACAAATCCCGCCAAAAATGTGAATCACGTTAACGAGTTATAGTCGATAATTTGGTCCAAATAAAATTCTACCACAAAAGTTTTCGGACCAGAGTCAGCGTACTGATCCAAAATGGATATCAGGGCAAAATCCAAGCTTCGTATATACAGGTTTATTCGTTATTGAATAGGATTATTATGTTCAATACGTGCAGTTGTGGCGGTAGCCATCATACAACGCAAGATATTTGATAGATGCCTGAATCCCACCTCTGACACCCAGTTTATAGGTTACGACGAAGGCAAAATCTTCCACCGAGCCGGTGAAATTGCTCGGTAGACCGACGGTCCGAATATTGTTGTTCGGAACTTGTGTATGTGCTTATCTTGAAAATGTCGTAAGTGAGATTCAAGCATCTGTCAAATATCTTGCGTTGTATGATGCCTACCGCCACACAGTGACTGTTGTGTAACAATGGAGAACTCTGGAACCTCGATCCTGGGGTCGACGACTCCTATACGCCATAGCCTCGTTAATTGAAATCTGTAGTGTCAATTTGTCACACGCAGATTATTTGATAACAAATTATCTGTTAAATAATATTAATAAATTGTTTTCAAAGGCTAAAAATATTTTTGATAAATAATATGAAAGTCAAGTTGAGTTATTAGTTCTCCCTTATCTCATCTGGATATGGATGTGAAACTTGTCAAATATAATGTTTTGACGACGCCGAGAATAACAATGACTGATTAATGTTTAACAATGTTAAAATACTGAGAGCAGATGCTCTCATTATTTCAATTAATTTTAGTGCTCCGTATATTTGATGGAAAATCGTAGGTTTTCGAACGATCATTGTCGTGTCTGCCTGTAAATCCAACGTAGGGACATTCTGCGGAGAGTCCCGCCCGCACGGCAGCCAATAGCGCCATACTTGAAATTTTTTTAGTAGATATTTCTTGTGTTTTTAATATCTCAATAACGCCCAAATAAAATAAGGATCGCCCCCAGGCTAATCTGAAAATTTTCGGAAATTTTCTTAGAAATCGGTCTAGCCGTTTCACAGTCTATATTTTTATAAACACTCGAGCTCTAACGAGTAATGTAATTTATGGATGAACCCTTATGATTAAGTTAAAGTATATTTATGTTATATTGTTTCTAATATTAGTGAAAATTCGTTTCAAAATTTTCCTTTCAAGGGAGCTTAAAATTTGGAAACAAAAACGGAAAATATGATTCCGATCATTCCAAAGTTGTTTAAGAAAATTGAAATGAAAAACATTTAATGGTTAAGTTATCACGATAAGCGGATTGGTACGGGGCCCTCTTTACGTTAGCTTGCCTCGCACAGCTTTCAAACAATATATTAATTAACTGTTCTATCGAAGGGGGGAGCTTTGATGAAAATCCTCAAAGGAAATGATTATTTTCGACAAAATGGCTCGTTTGGGGGGTGTGGGTTGTATGGAATTGCGAAGATGTTAAATGCCATCCACTAATCGACTCCGCTACACTCTCGCTTGAGCTTCCGAACTCCGTCTGAGACTTCAACCAGAAGTCTGGCCGACGAAGTGGAACTATACGTCGGTCGTCACGATACGAGGTCCTGCTAGGTCACTGCCACCAGGACCTTGGAAAGGGATAGTGTTCAGCTTATCTTTTTAATACGCCTTTATTAGCTTCAGACGTAGTATGTTAGTATGTAACGGAATCTTTGAACATGATTTAGACCCCCTTCAAAACGTCGGATTAACTCGAAATTTGGCATACTTATTGAGGGCCGATGACAATTCAATATTTAAAAATAAATAATGAAAAAATTTAAATTCAACTAAAAAGTAAATAATAGTTTAAAAAAACCAAAAAAAAAAACTTTTTATTACATGCTTTTTTTACAATAAAATATTTTTTTCTTACACTATTTTTAATTCAAATTTATTAAAATTTATTTTCAATTTTTTATTTGGATTTTCTATAAAAGCGTATTTATTTAGTTTTTTTAAACTTTTATTTATTTATTTTTCTTTGTGAGCGTAAATAATCTGATGTGCCATCTGATGTTAAATACTTACCTTAATCCATATATTGATAGGCGCCTATGAGTCCAGATGTGTAAGTGTGCAAGTACCACCACCAACCCTCTGTTCTGGTTTTATTGATAAAACTGATGGAAGATGTATCTAACCGTTGGGCTGGGCAGGGGCAGCCGTTGTACTGTTATAAGTGAGATCTTACAACTCATGTCTCAAGGTGGGTGGCAGCATTTACCTTTTAGATGTCTATTGGCTCTGGTAACCACTTCAGATCAGGTGGGTGGGTGGAGTTCGTCCACCCATCGAAGCTATAAATAAAAAAACCCTGTATAACGGCGGCGGATCATTGCGAAGAATGAAGACCTCTTTCTCTCACACTCTGTCGTCTTATGCTCCGTCTCCTTTTGGGAAATCTACCATCTTCTTCTGGGACTCGTTGCTGCCAGCATCATAGCTAAGATGGTCGGCAGTTCTTACTGGTGCTAGGACTTCTTGTGAGTCCGCACGGGTAGGTAACATCGCTCCGCCTATTTCTACCGTGAAGCAGTAATGCGTTTCGGTTTGAAGGGTGGGGCAGCCGTTGTAACTATACTTGAGGCTTTAGAACTTATATCTCAAGATGGGTGGCGCATTTACGTTGTAGATGTCTATGGGCTCCAGGAACCACTTAACATCAGGGGGGCTGTGAGCTCGTCCACACATCTAAAAAAAAAAAAATAAGACCTGCCCTATTTGAGCGACGAGGCATGATGCTGTGTGACGCTGCTCTTCTTAGAAGGAGCAGGTTGCGAACGAATGACCCGACGTATCCTCGTCGCTACCACAATAGTGGCACTCCATCATCGCCTTGCTCCCCGCAGTAACTCCTATTTACTACCAAGGCAGCATTATTTCAGGCAATACCGTTCCTTACCGTCGTCGTGGGATCGTACAACAACACAGATGTCTGTCGCGTGATCACAGTGTTGGCGTCTGGTGAGGAGTTGGAGGCCAGTTTCCCTGCTACCATCAAGGCAGAGTTACGACCAGGTCAACCGGAATGGGCTAATTATATCAAAGGAGTTATTGCTAATTTTCCTAGTAAGTTACTCGACAATCTAGATTCCGTATTGTTTGCTATACGGACAATATACGGTCTATATTCGTAACGTAGCTCTAATCAAAACATTTTAATAACTAATAACTAATACAGTCAAACCTGGATAAGCGAGAGTTCAAGGGAGCACAATCTCATTCTCGCTTATAGAGGTTTCTCACTAACCCGAGTTTCTCGCTAATGCACCCTCTGAATTTCATTTCGCGATATTCCGGATTCAAACGCATTCACTATTTTTAGTTTGTCACTTAATGACAGTACTTTAATTTTCCGTTTTTTACATGATGCAGAACAGAACTTTCCTTCGCAATTGATTAACGATAAACTGAGCAAGTCTGACAAACAGCACGGTACACAGGCACACGTGTCCATTCGAAAAGAAAGCGATAAAATAACAACGTTATTTAGTTCCACGAAATAGAATAGGTTCAATATTGACGAGAAAATAACAAAAACAATGGTAGGAAGTTCCACGAAAGCTAAGAATGAGTCATAAAATAGCAGATGTTAAATTTGTAATTTGTTTTGTTATTTGTTCCTCCTAAATAATATAAATAAATAAAGCTCGACTGTCGCTTATAGAGGTATAGATAAGTAGCAGTCTCACTTACGGAGGTCCATGAGGAAAAAACGACTCTCTCTTACCAAGGTTTTTGTTTCTCGCTAATAGAGGTTTTGGGAGCTCAAAATGACGGGTCCTGACTATTACTCTCACTTATAGAGTTTTCTCACTTATCCAGTTCTCACTTACCCAGGTTTGACTGTATATATAAAAATGAATTGCTGTTCGTTAGTCTCGTTAAAACTCGAGAACGGCTGAACCGATTTGGCTAACTTTGGTCTTGAATTATTCGTGGAAGTCCAGGGAAGACTTAAAAGGTGAGAAAATATAAAAAAAGCTCGGAATTATATAAAAACAAACAAATTTGTTTTACCTTTGATCTGTCCCCTTGATGTGTCTTTTATTTATCGATTGAAGCACTACGAAGTCTGCCGGGTCAGCTAGTCTATATACCTAGTCAGGTCATAAATTCTGTCACATGTTTAATGTAAAATAATTGAAACAAGTTTATTCATTATGTAACCATTCATATACCAAAATGAACTTAACAAAACATAGATTCTTATGACGTTAAAGTTTATTCAAAATGACCTCCGTGATTTTGAATACAGGCCTTCAATCTGCGCGGCCAGTCGTCCATCGCAGCACGAACGAGGTCCATGTCAATATCGGCGGCTGCCTTAATCAAGGATGTCTTGAGTGACTCCAAATTGGGATGAGGCTTTGAGCACGCCTTTTCCTCCAAGTGTTGCCATATCTTGTAATCTAACGGATTCAAATCTGGACTGGAGGAGGGCCAGTCTTCGTGCCGGATGAAGTCGATTTCACGCGCCGCCAGCCAGTCTTGTGTGCTCTTCGCTCTATGAGCTGGCGCCGAATCTTGTTGGAATACCCAGTGCCTGTTATTGAACATGGTATGAGAAACAGGTTCCACAAGGTTCGTCAGGACTGTATTTTGATACACAACTGCATTCGTTTTTACACCTTTCTCACAAAAATGTACCTCTGTTAAGCCCCAATAAGAAACTCCCAACCATACCATGAGCGAGGATGGAAAATGACCTCGTTGGACACGCGGAATACGGTTGCTCGCTTCTTCACTACTGTGTGCGTACACCTTATCATTTTGTTTGTTGTAGCTCTCTTCTACGGTAAAAATTTTTTCATCCGAAAAAAGAATTTCCCGATATTTTTTTCCCGCGTACCGCTTCAACAAAGCGCGGCATCTCTTCAGTCTCAGGTCCATTAGACGAGCATTCAAACGATGTCCTGTTTTTCTTCGATATGCCCGAAGCCCTAAGTCTTCATTTAACACCCTTTTCACCGTGGTTCTGCTTAACCCCATCTGAAGGGCCAACAGTTTCTGCTTACGTTTGGGATTTCTTTGAATTCGCGCCTTCACAGCTTTTATCACTGCTGGAGTCCTAACAGACCGAGGGCGACCACTTCTTGACCTGTCATCTACACTAGAGTCTTCATTGTATCGTTTGATGGTACGATAAACGAATCTTTTGGTTATATTCAAAATTTTCAGTATGTTAAAAATTTGAATTGGCGCGTAACCGCAACGATGCAACGCAATAACTGCAACACGGTCTTCTTTAAGCGTCCACTCCATATTTAAAAATGAGTAAAAATTCTAAAAGTATACATTTTTATTTTCATGAACAATTCGAAATTCGAATTCAATAAACTTTTTTGTGGCCAGCATTCTAAAAGAAAAGTTTTTACTGTGTGACAATACTTATGACCTGACTAGTTATATATGATGATAAATGAATTGCTGTTCGTAATTCTCTCGAGTTTTCTCGAGCGGCTGATCCGATTTGGCTAATTTTGGTCTTGAATTATTTGTGGAAGTCCAGAGAGGGTTTAAAAGATAAATATGAAAATGCTCGGAATTAAATAAAAATAACAATTTTGTTTTTCCTTTGATGTGTCTCTCATCGGACGGATTCCTTTTGTTTGTTTTAAGTTTATTTTATACAAAAGCTTAGATCTTTTATTTATCGATTGAGGCGCTACGAAGTCTGCCGGGTCAGCTAATAACTATTAAAATCGAAATACTTTCGTATAATTTCGATTGATTTTATTTATTTATTTTGTCAGCAAACAGCAATATTCCTAATATTTCGTGCATCATCTCCAACTGTTACCTTTATATTGACACAAAAATCGATTTCGCGTTATGAATACCAACACCCACCTCCAGATGGAGTCGAACTCTCATTTACATGGACAAGCGTATGACAGTTTCGCGGCATGAATTGTCAGGAGGCTGCCATAATCCATTGTAGCTTCACATCACGTCTTACTTCTTGTAAATTTGCAAATAAATAAAAACCTACTACTATAATTGTTATTACGTCATGTTGTTTCTTAACCGTGAAAGTCGTTTGTGAACATGGTTACGTATTTACTATAAAGCACTCAGTACAGTCACGTTAATTAAGTTAAATATTATCTAATTTAGCATTTTTCCAATCGACTTTCTTTCATTGGTCCATAGTAAAAGTGAACGGTTTCGATATTGTTGTCGTATCCGACGTGCCGATGGGTTCTGGTGTTTCCAGCAGCGCCGCCATTGAAGTGGCAGTATTCACGCTGCTAGAAGGACTCACGGGAAGGACGGTTAGGTGAGTTCTTTTAAGCTTAGAGGGATAAAGATCAAGTCGTCAATAATATTTATTTATTTATTAAGTTGCACCAACAAAGTGATCACCAATACAAAACATTGATAAATTGACCAAAGTTCATGGCAGATGTCACCTCAATTATACAGTGCATTAACAACAGAATAAAAAATATATATATAACTAAGATTTGATTACATTTGGTTGATTGTTTAAAATTAATTTATATTTAATTGGGAAATGATCCGCGACATATTTTTCCTGTAAGTTGTGAGAAAATTAGAAAAACAATTTATTTCACTTACAATTAGTTCAGAACAATCGGACAGCTCCGAAGGAACACTGACGGAGACCGCGCTACCGTGGACTTTATTGTAGCCCCAAAGAATTCTGTTTAAGAGAGAGTAAGCACTTAAATTCGAACGAGCGGGGTTTCTTATAAACGGTTTATATTTCTTCGTTCTTGGTAGGTACTTAGGGGCTGATATTTTTATCTGGGTTAAGAGATTAGGTGTGTCGGTTAACTTCCTACCCAGATTGTAGTTGTAAGACAAGTACCATAGAAAACATTTCTGGACACTTTCCAATCGTTTCTTGTATAACTCTTAATAAGGAATCCACACAATGCAGCAATATTCTAAGGTGCTGCGTACGAGAGCATTATAAATTTTGATCTTAGTGTTTGGTTTTTTGAATTCTTTGCAATTACGAAATATAAATCCTAATATTTTAAAGCTCTTTCTGGTAATATTTTCAATATGTGTGCTGAATTGCAGCTTACTATCAATGGTCACACCCAGATCTCTAATATATCAATCAATGAATCATCATATAGTTCTAATTATAGTTCCGAAGACAAGTCTAGCGTCGTTGCCTAAAGGATAAGACGTCCGTTGCATTCGTATCTTGCGATGCACCAGTGTTCGAATCCCGCAGGCGGGTACCAATTTTTTTAATGAAATACCTACTTAACAAATGTTCACGATTGACCTCCACGGTGAAGGAATAACATCGTGTAATAAAAATCAAACCCGCAAAATTATAATTTGCGTAATTACTGGTGGTAGCACGTTCTGTGAGTCCGTACGGGTAGGTACCACCGCCCTGCTTAGTTTTGTCGTGAAGCAGTGATGCGTTTCGGTTTGAAGGGTTGGGTAGCCGTTGGAACTATACTGAGACCTTAGAGCTCATATCTCAAGGTGGGTGGCGTTATTTATGTTGTTGATGTCTATGGGCTCCGATAATTACTTAACACCAGTGTGGGGCTGTGAGATCGTCTACCTATCTAAGCATAAAAAAATACTGTGATGATACTTTTTATTAATTAATAAGAGATGGTGATCATCGAATTCGCGATAGTGAGATGCCTCTGGATGGGTTTACCCATGATTATGAACAAGCATCTTCTGGTTCGGTCTGGTTATTGTTTTCCCATTTTAAGTTGGACTATTTTTTGCAGTTTAGTGGAAAAAGCCAAGCTGTGTCAGAAGGCAGAGCACGACTTCCCTGGGATGCCGTGCGGCATCATGGATCAGTACATTGTTACTATGGGCAAAAAGGACCACGCATTACTTATTGACTGCAAGTTAGTCGCATTTGTTACCTTTTTTTTTTCCTCGATTGCCGATACATTTTTTTTACCTACCCACATCAGCAACCTATAGGCTTATATTAGCTTCACCGAACGTGAAGTGAATGTGAACGTTTTCACTGGTGGTAGGACCTCTTGTGAGTCCGCACGGGAAGGTACCACCACCCCGCCTATTTCTGTCGTGAAGCAGTAACGCTTGTTGTAAGACTTGAGACCTTAGAACTTATAACTCAAGGTGGGTGGCGTATTTAAGTTATAGATGTCTATGGGCTCCAGTAACCGCTTAACACCAGGTGGGCTGTGAACTCGTCTATCTCTCTAAGCAATAAAAAAAAACGTGTAGGCGTGCTCACGGACCTGAGAGACTTAGCTAACATTTGCCCTAGCAAGAGCAGTGCTTCGTTAAAACAACTACCGGATCAGAATCGCGACCTGCTGAGAAGGTCCGGTGAGAAACTTAGTGGGCTGTGTCGGTGGGTTAACTTGGACGATGTACTGTTCGTCGCATTCGACGGGTTCGACGAGAATAGTAACCGGTGTTTGGCATGCCTAAAATCACTGAGAGTGGATCGGGAGGATCCGGTTTTAGATTCAGCGAAGCACTACACTTGCTGGGGTTAGTGATAGCAAGTCCTCCCAGATGAAGTCCAGTGAGCTCGCAGAAAACTATTGTCTAATTTTCGAACCGTAAAAGTAATTTTACTGGTGGTAGGACCTCTTGTGAGTCCGTGCGGGTGGGTACCACCGCCCTGCCTATTTCTGCCGTGAAACAGTAATGCGTTTCGGTTTGAAGGGTGGGGCAGCCGTTGTAACTATACTTGGGACCTTAGAACTTATATTTCAAGGGGGGTGGCGCATTTACGTTGTAGATGTCTATGGGCTCCAGTAACCACTTAACACCAGGTGGGCTGTGAGCTCGTCCAACCATCTAAGCAATAAAAAAAAAATAACCATATTTATTTATTTATTTATTATAATGACATTAGCGAGTGGCGTAACGGTCTACAGAATTAAATTTCCGAATCGTGACAAAAATCATTCCATTCCTACCATTAAATTTTTTATTGTCGTTACATTTTAATAGCGTGAACAGTTGTTTGTGGAACCGAAACAAGACGATATTGTAAATACAAAATTTTGATTGTATTGCTACGTAGTTTGTAGTTCTAAGGTCTCAGTATAGTTAAAACGGCTACCCCACCCTTCGAACCGAAACGCATTACTGCTTCACGGCGGAAATAGGCGGGGTGGTGGTACCTACCCGTGCGGACTCCCAAGAGGTCCTACCACCAGTGATTACGCAAATTATAATTTTGCGGGTTTGATTTTTATTACACGATGTTATTCCTTCACCGTGGAAGCCAATCGTAAACATTTGTTGAGTACGTATTTCATTATAAAAATTGGTACCCGCCTGTGGGACTCGAACACCGGTGCATCGCTACATACGAATGCACCGGACGTTTTATCCTTTAGGCCACGACGACTTATAACCCTACGTGGAGCGCTGAAGTAATTATGTCGATTTCTCTCCTCGATCTTCTTACTAAGGCGCCGGAATATCTAGTAGACTCTGGGAGAACGAATCTGAACATACTGAAAATAAATCTATTTTTAAGAGACCTAAAGACTTAAACATACATTATCAAACAAAAGAAGGCAAAGTTAGGTAGCCTAGGCGCTTCGTGAGAGAAATCGTCTAATTTGAAAATGACCTACACGGCAGTCAACGTGTTCAACTTTAACCACCGGCGACTTGGGTAGTAGACACCACAACCCACAATATACGACCCAGACGACGGCTCACCCTCGACCGGGTATCCGTAAATGGATAACCCAGCGTTAAAAAAAAAAAAGGCGACGGGTTTTTTTATTTTTTTTTTATTGACTTTTTAGGCAGACGAGCATACGGCCCACCTGATATTGAGTGGTTACCGTCGCCAATGGACTTCAGCAATGCCAAGGGCAGAGCCAAGTCGCTGCCTACCGCAAAAAGGGTCAAGGCATAGCCGCTATTACTCGAAACACATCTTGTTGGATCACCGGATTCACTCTCGGTGCTTTTAGGCCCCTCAAGCACCAGTCACCGTCATTCAAACTCGTCGATTAGGAGGATGAGTTCGACGAGCGAAGATGTGTTAGCCATATACACAAACCCCTGACTTTCTCGCCGAATCTTCCCACACATCAACACGCTCCCATTGTTTGTCTATTTATCTGCATCACCAGATAGGTCATGTTCAATCGCTTGATCATATATTAGGGCTTTAAATACATGAGACTATAGGTACATCAAAACTCTTGTATGACTATTCACTAAGTAGAAATCGGAAAGGAACACTCTGAACTACCGTGGTTTTTTTATTGGTTAGATGGGAGGACGAGCTCACAGCCCACCTGGTGTTAAGTGGTTACTGGAGCCCATAGACATCTACAACGTAAATGCGCCACCGACCTTGAGATATAAGTTGTAAGGTCTCAGTATAGTTACAACGGCTGCCCCACCTTTCAAACCGAAACGCACTACTGCTTCACGGCAGAAATAGGCGGGGTGGTGGTACCTACCCGTGCGGACTCACAAGAGTTCCTACCACCAGTAATTACGCAAATTATAATTTTGCGGGTTTGATTGATTGATTGCGGGATTCGAACACCGGTGCATCGCTCGATACGAATGCACTGGACGACTTATCGTTTAGGCCACGACGACACGGATCGACTTAAGGCTCATCCAGTAGTCTGAAATAATTGCAACATGGCGATTTTACTACGAGACCAAAAGTACTGAATAATATTCATTTTAATACGCGCGGTTACATGATGCTCACGAAGAGGCACTGAAGGCTCAGGAACCAGACTCAAAAGCTGCTTTTACTGGCTTAGGTCGTGAGCTTACGATCACGCCCAAATCAGGAAGTGAATTTGAAACCTCTTTTCCAGGTCTTTGGAAGCAAAGCAGGTGCCGATTAAAATGGAGAATATATGTATACTAGTGATCAACTCCAACGTGAAGCATCGGTTGACGGGAAGCGAGTACCCTCAGAGGAGGGCTCAGTGTCAAGAAGCGGCCTGTCAACTGGGATTGACATCTTTGAGGGCGGCAAATATGCAGGATTTAGACAGTAAGTAACTACATAGTTCTTTACTGACATAGTTTTGTTTTACAGCTTAGGTGGTTGAACGAGCTCACAGCCACCTGGTGATAAGTGGTTACTGGAGCCCATATACATCTACAACGTTAATGCGTCGCAAACCTTGAGATATAAGTTCTAAGGTCTCAAGTATAGTTACAGGTGAGTTCCATAGTTCGTGCGGGAAGCAATTGATGCAGTCCATTAAAAATCACAATGATACGAGAATTTTACACATTTTAATTGTCTAATTTAAAGAAGAAAATTAACCTTAAAAATCGATTTCGTTCGTTTGCGTTTACAACAAAGTGATGAGCGGACGGTTAGCGTGGTATGGATATGTGATGCGTAGAGAGAAGATGCGTGTGACTAGGAGATGTATGGAAATGGTAGTGCATGATAGAGGGGGAAGAGGTCGACCGAAGAAGACATGGATGGAGTGTGTAAATGAAGATATGAGAGAGAGAGGAGTGAGTGTTGAGATGACGGCTGATAGAAGAGAATGGAAGACAAAAATTAGATGTGCCGACCCCATCTAGTGGGATAAGGTGCAGAAAAAGAAGAAAGAAGAGCTTTAACATTTTAGCAACAAAACTAGGTTAAAAGAGGAATATTATAAAGTATTTTTCTTACATATAAAGTAATTGAAGTAAGAAGTAAATAAGTTATGCAGAACAAGCTCATAAACTATATATGAAATTTGAAGCTTTTTTATTATTACTGCTATCCCGCTAGTTGGGATGACAGAACTAATAAAAATGCATATTCTGTTTGATTTGGCTTTTGAGGCTCCGTAATCTAATTGCAAAAACGGGATCCTATTTGTCATATTGGTCTATTCATAGCCATCGGACCTCCGACGCAAATGGGTATTAGTATTCAGTGATTTTGCTGAAATAACGACATGTTGTTTTAGTAGGTTTGTGAACAATCACGGTCATGGTCCTTCCACGGAAACAATTAGCTGACGTGCAACCGTCTCCTCGTGTAGGACCGTAGACCTAACGCAACAATTGATTTAGGATCCATCGTTTTCTTATTGGATACTGTGCTAAAACTTGTTGAGAACATAATTTAGGTCGTGACTTTTAGCGCTATATGCTTAGATAAGACTAGATCGAAATGCTGTTTTATGTGATTGAAACCCCTAAATACCTGTTTTACTTAGTGGCTTAAGAGAAGAGATCTATGAAATCGGTGGACAAATTGTAAAGCAAAGAGCTGAGTGCGCGAGCGATAATAAAATTGTGACGGGTAATTAATTACGAAGTGAAACATAAAATTCTATTTGTTATCTAACGCCATTGTGACGTGGTATAATGCGCGAAACCTAATTAGTGTCATGTAGATAGAACCTTTGTAATATATTGTGTTTCTTTCGTAGAAGCGAAAATATAATACTTGAATAACGTTCCACAATTTTATTTATTACGCCCACACTTCAGGCTGTGATTGCCAGTTTATAAGGTATTTTTTTCCGAAATCTCCAATTTGTATTTTTGGGAAAAGCTACAATCATGTGTTTAATAAAGAAATCTTAGAAGATTCCCGCCCGGGCGTAGCTGGAATAGCGCCTTAGGCTAGTGAATAGGTACGGGAAAAAAACAAACTATAATAATTATTTCTATTCTATGTATATTTGTTTTGTGGCACTCATTTTTATGGTACAAGATTTGTATAACAGTTAGATCTGTGCTCAATTGCTTTCTTAATTACCTAATCTAATAGATATAGTGGAACACATAAAGAAAAGAAGTCCATGTCACATAGCCCGTATTCTAAAATTTTTAAATAAATTTATTATAAAAAAATAACACAATATTCCTAACCTAAAAGTACATGTTTTTTTTTTTTTTTTTTTTTTTATGATTGAATGTTTACTGGTGGCCCGAAGGCCTTTCCAGTTTCACCAGGACAGGTGGGCGAGCAAAGGCTCAGCCAAGAGGGGCGGGATTTGCTAACAACTGCCCGAGCGCCTCCGAAGGAGACCTAACAACTCAAGAGCAATTGTTTCGCGAATGAATCGACTACCGGATCGGAATCGCGACCCGCTGAGAAGATCCGGCGAGAAACTCAGCGGGCTGATGCATGGGTTAGGTTGTACGTCGACCTCTTTGTCGAGTTCGACGAGTACGGTTACCGGGGTCCCTAAGCCTGCCCCTAGTATTAGAGCTGAAGGCATCTAATGCAAAGGTTATTGGATCTGATGGATCCGTAAGGACGTGTCTAGGGCGTCGACGGTGACTGGCTCCTGCATGATCAGGATTCGGGGAGTAGTCAGCGGCGGCAACGATAAGGCGATTATCATGACGCATAGCCTTATCGAAGTATCGTTCCGACGCTGACTTCATGTATTTCCGAATTGATTCGAGGCCCAGGTCGTCGTGTAGGTCAACGTTCCTCACGAACCACGGAGCCCCGACAGCTAACCTGCAAAAGCGGGATTGTAGGGATTGGAGGGTGTCTATGTGTGTGCGGGCCGCGTGAGCGAACACCACACTCGCGTAAGTCATGACGGGCCTTATGCAAGTTTTGTAAAGTGTCACCTTGTTCCGAAGGGACATTTTACTCCGCTTACAGAT